GGTCAGATTTTTAATCAACATCCAAACGTTTTCTATCTATTTGAACCTCTGCGTGCTGTTACCGTGGTAACAAATGAAGATCTCTACTTGAACCTTCCATCGGAAAATTACAATCGACTCGCACTGAAATTACTGTTTGAAATTTTAAATTGCAGGTTCCGCTCTTCAGTTTATCTTGATCATTTCTACTCCTTTCATCGTTCTTCTAGCAAGGCGGTTTCTTCCTTTCCTTTATGTCACCAGGGAGAAGCAACTCATGCCTCTACTGCAAGAAAGTACAGCGCGCCGCTTATTGGAACAACGATGGAGGAAGTTTGTAAATTTCAGTACTCCTTCAGCCGTCAAGATCTTGTTGCACAGGGTTCCCAACCAAAGCATCGCATCGTTGCTATCAATGTGCGCTAATACAAAGCCAGAGCCGTGCAAAGTTATTCACTTAGTGAGAGACCCACGGGCCTTGATGTAATCCCAGATGAAGTTAAATTTCATGCGGAGAAGCAAGCTCAAAAATGGAAAGCTTCAAACACAGGACATTCTAAAGCATACTAAAAGAAAATGTAACCGTATTCACCATAATCTTCTTGAAATCAAAAACCTTTCAGCTGACTTACTTCACCTTTACAAGGTACTTAGATACGAAGATCTGGTTTTAGATTTAGAAAACACAACAAGAAATCTATTCAAGTTTGCGAAAATTCCAATGAAGATGGAAATCTCAGACGGGATCAAGACAAACACAAAAGCTAGCAGTGTTCCATACCCAAGAAAACCTTATACCCCATATTCCACGCACAGAAATGCTTCCACTCTTGTTGATAACTGGAAACGGGAACTTAGTGGCAACGATAAACATTTTCATTGAGCGGTATTGTATGTCTGTAATGAAGATCTTAAGGTATTTGCCAAGCAAAGAAATCCCATGAATTAAAATTCGAAAGATACTTCACCTCTTGATTTTGTCTACACTATAATCAGCCTGTAAAACACCCCTACTGTAAAGCGGTGGCGGGGTAGAGAGGGTGATGAGATTTAAATAATTTTATAAAGCCGAGTGGCGACAGTAATATAAGTATTATGGGATATGGCGTTGCTAGCGACCTGTAGCGTCATTCAAATTGCCGCCACCTTGAATTTTATTGATAATTCAGATAAATTTTACAGATTATCAAATAGCTTCGTGACTTAGCGTTTTACAAGCTATTAGTCTAAAACACGTTTTTAACCTTTTTGCTCTTTTTTTCCCTGAGAGATATATTTATGGGATCGTTCTCTATATTTTTGTTGTCGTCAGTTGTTGTAAAAGTTGTGGTTGTTGTTGTTTTCTTGTCGAGCCTCATTCCCCCACCCCCCTCTTAACGTCCTTTGTGATCCTTGCTGGCGCAGAGACAAATGGCTTGTGGCGTTGGAAATCCTGTTCCCAATATTATAAACTGCAGTAGGGTCAAACTCTGACTTGATGAATTTTACTTGTAGCATTTTGATTTATTTTTATTTGCTTTACAACAGAAATTAAAGGACTGAAATGGCATTTTAATTATCTCTAGGGAGAATCAAATGCCTCACTCTTTATCAATTGGACTTGTCTTGGCAAGATATTCATCACTCCATCTAGAGAGAATGAGCTCAAGAACGTCTCGTATTTTTTCTTAAGGAGAGAACCTTTCGGGCTAAGAAACACACAAATAATTCAACTCCACTCCCACCCTATATTTATTCCTTTAGTGTTGAAAGTCACTGAAACAAGTTTTGATAAAAAAGGTCCTTATATTTGATTCAATGTATTCGGGGGTAAAAAAGCAAAGTTTTTATCAAATGCATCGGAAATCCCGAAGACTCTTCCTTTCTTTAACCCGGGGGTGGGGGTGTGCCGCCCGGTTCTCCAAATCGTGACCCTATTTTAGACCCAAAAATATCATTTTCCACACCCGTTTTAGATCTGGGGCCGGTTTCTCGAAAGTCCCGGTCGGCTTTCGGGCCCGAAATCAAATATTAAAATGGAAATATAATTATAAAGAATAAGAACGCGGGTCCTTGCTAGCAAATTACTCCATTTTGTTTCACTACTTGATAGCTTTATCATGTTAGATGCAAAACTATTGAAACCTCGATCTTTAATGTAAACGGCAACAACTTACCGGGCCCGTTAATTATCGGGACTTTCAAGAAACGGGCCTCTGGCGGTCTGGCCTCTAAAATCCATACTTGCTTCAGACCTGGCCTCTAAGAAATTATATCAGCATTACCTAGATTAGATAGCCAACAGAAAGGATTTCTTACAATTTATTTGGAATTCGCAAATTTCTCTTTCTCCACATTTGGAATTGACATGATAAATACGTTCATACACTCCCACCAGTAGTTCCATACCCGTTTCCAGACCAAAACGGCGTAAAAACCATACCCTGTGGGTGGCACATACCCTATATGGCTTATATAAGGGAGTAGTCCCCCGACTTTAAGCCTGCAAAGCTAAAGAATTGTAACCTCTCTCTGGGTAACTGCAGACTTCGTTTTCGTGGCGCGTTTTCCACCAAATTAATCGTCGGTTTTTCAACGAAATCGTCGAATATCAAGAATTATTTTGCGGGATAACACTGCAGCAGGACGTTGACGACGGAAAAGAGAAAATAAAAAAGCAATAGCTTTTCTGATAAGCACAGATCACTTTTCCTTCGCCGAACGACTTACAGTGTGAAACTTGGTCGAAATAGATCGTCGTTTCATCAATGACCGGCCAAACTTTATGTGGGACGATGGAGGGTCTCGCCGCCCTCGTTACTTTTAGGAAGCGGTTAACAAATTCCCAAAACGCATGCTCAGTTCACATGTGCTCAAAAATTGTGTGAGCCACGCGAAGATGGCGGATGCCGCCAGGGTGAGTCGATCTTTTCTCGTACTTGTGTGACTAGTTTCAAGAGAAAAAAATTGGAAAAGAAAAAGGAAATGTAAATATTCTTATACTGCAGGCAGCCAAGCTAAAGGACCAGGGGAATACTCATCTCCAAGCAGGTGATTTGGCGAAAGCTGTGGACTGTTACACAGAGGCGATCTCTCTCGACCCCTCAAATCATGTATTCTACAGCAACCGATCTGCAGCCTATGCTAAGGACAAGAAATATGAGCAGGCATTAGCTGACGCCAAGAAATGTGTTGAGCTAAAACCAGATTGGGGCAAGGTGAGAGAATTGTTCAGTTTTCATGGCGATCAAGAAGCAAAATTTCTGAGTCCATGTGAAATTGATTTATCAGCATTAAAGCAGGGTATTTAATATAAACCATGACTTTTTGCGAAAAGAAGCAAAGTAGTGTGACTTTGCTTTTCGAATACTGCTTGTGGATGAATGTTATCATCGCGTATTGCATTGTAAATAACTTGATTTGTTTTTATAAACTCCTGTCAACAACTCGTAGGTACATACATGTACAGTGTTTGTACTATACATGTACATGAATTTGCAAGTTATAGAAAATAAATGTTATGAAATAAGCATACCTTGCTTTGCGAGGTTTATAATCTTGTCGCCCGTGAAGCGCGTGTACCACGCGTGGTGTTAGCAACCTGCAAAGTCAGCTGGCCCATCTACATTTCTATGTATATATCGCGATGGTGTCCGCCCTGACGTCATCTAGGGTGGTTTGGTCATATTTCTATTGGTTTGGTTTTTTTAGCGGCTGTTTTAGGAGTTGTTAAGTGCTTTTTGCAATGAATTTCAAACATTTAACTACTTTTAAGAGCAAAGGGAAGCCATTTTGGATAATTAGTCTTAAGATATGAGCGAAAATTGAGGTAACAAAACACGTTTTGCTCACAGGCGAGGTTATACCCCACTGGCTTAGTCGGGCATCTGTTATTTAAATGCGATGAAATGGGTTTATGTTGTAGTTAATGTTTTATTTCAGTTAATATTAACTGAAATAAAAAATTAACTGCAACATTTACATTAGGTTTTCACCATCACAACAGCAGTTATTCCCCTTTGAATTTGTGTTCAATAGGGCTCAATCAACTTTATACAGGGCGTGCTGGCAGCAGTCCTAGAGGAAAGGCTTTTAATAAAATATTATCGATTCCTTCACAGTGTGTTCCACATGGCTTAGTGGTAATGAAATAGCCTGGCACATAGGAGGTCCAGAGTTTGATTCCGGGCAGAACCTGTTTTTCTTTTCTTTTCTTTTTTTTGTTTTCCTTTTGGTCTAGTTTTCTTTTTAGTGTTTTGTTTCTTTATAGCTCTATATAGGCTCGATTTCCGCCGTCTCCCAAGTCCGGTCTTTGATCCTCCCCGAAGAGAGCTCTTTCGTGGGGATGAGTGCGGGCTCATTTTCCCGAACAGCGGCTGGTAATCGAGCCTAAGCTCTATATAGCTTTAGTTTTTTAAAACTTGTAAATTTTCTTCCCTAATGCCTTATTTCCCTTTCAACTTTTTGCTGTACCCCCAAAGTCCTTCGCTAGGTCATGCGATTCACGTATTTCTAGTTTAAAATTAGTAAGAAAACTTAAAACCATTACTAACCTAGCACCTTGCAAGTGATTTATCCCTTAAAGTGCCCCTAACCCTTCAATTTGTTTTCTTTTGGTAGACTTCCATATCTTTCAAGAGCTCATTTTCAAAAAAAATTTTCAGAAATATTGAATCCTTTTTTTTTACGAGCACTAAAAGTGAAGGCAGTCTTGTCAATATTTTCACCTATCATTCGCATTAGTCCCCCACTTGGCCAAATGTGTCCAAATATGGAGCGTGACGTAAGAAAAGGATATCGTGTAAAAAAAAATGTGAAGATTCACGGTAATGCGTTATTGTTAAACAGAGAAAATGGTTGAAAAATGTGTGGTTTTTGGATGCAGCAACTCTTGAAATAAAGAGAAAGGAATCAGCGTGCATAAGATTCCTTCTTTCAATGCTTCGTGCTTTGGAATGGTGTCCTTTTCTTACGTCACAGCTAAAAAAGTGTCAAATTTCAGACGCTTCTCATTGGCTCGTTCGTAATGAGCCAACGAGACAAAAATTTGTCCAGCTGGGCTTATAGCTCGCAAGAGTTTAAAAATTTCAGTAACTCTTAGCGCTCGTAAAAACAAAAGGATTCAATATTTCGGAAAATTTTTTTTAAAAATGAGTTCTTGATAGGTATGGAAATCTACCAAAAGAAAGCAAATTGAAGGGTTAGGGGCACTTTAAAATTCTATACAATTCCTTTAATTTAGTATGGCCACTGAATCGGTGAAAGGGTTCATTGACTCTGCCACAGTCTCACTTGTAACCAAAATGACTTGTTTATGGAACTATAAGATCTGATAATTTTTTGTTTTTCTTCTTTTTTGCCATTGGCACAAAATTTCCTTAAACTGATTTTTCTTGTTTCAGCGTTCTGGGTGATCTTCCTTCCTATTACCTGTTATGCACTGCAGTAGTTTTTTTGCCCTCAAGACAAGAGAATATGGATCCAACAGTACCATACCTACTCATGCCATTCCATATTTTTATTTAATTTTTACTAAAAGGGTTATTCAAGGCTGGGTGCTGCATTGTCATTCCTTGGGCGCCATGATGAAGCAGAAAAAGCTTACACTAAAGGTCTTCAGTTGGATCCAAGTAATGCCCAGTTAAAAAGTGGCTTAGAAGACGCAAGAGCACAAGCTGCCCGTAAGTAGTTTTGAGTCCCACAAAGCTCTCAGAACAAGTTGTTTAAAACCCTTTAATATCCCCCAATATTCACTTATAAATTCTCCAGACTGATTCCCGTACATTTCAGTTTGAGTAATTTGATAAAAGATCAAAGCATTCTCCCCAAGGTTACTAGCCTGCAAAAACAGTCGTTTCTCCTTGCTCTTCGCCCCTGAGGACATTTCACAAGGAGGAATATCTGCAACTCAGGGGCAGAAATTACATACTGATGACATAAATCAATGTTTACATAATAAATCCGGTAGTCACTGGGTTCCAAATGCAAGGTTGTTCAATTTTAGGTTTCTCCAGGTTGATTTTGGTAAAGTGTTGTGTTCATCTGCGAACGAGCTCCAGCAAAACTCAAATGCTCCTTCTAGAGAAGATATATCCCACAAATATTGACTGTTTTATTATAGATTCATGGCGTCATTCCTAAACAATAGCTAAAACAATGTAACTACTCCGTTGTCCAATCAGTGTTTATGACCAGATTCTGGACAGATTTTCCTCTGCGTGAAACGTCCCAAACAGTAATGAGCGAGGAGAAATGGCTGTTTTCGCAGGCTATAAGGATACCCTTGTATTTGTTATTCTCCTATCCTTTTCTCGTGATTGTGTATTGATAATTATGCTGAGGAGAAAAGTGATGTTAATCAGCCAATGAAATAGAAGATGACTGTCCCAAACAATGTCCCTTCCCTAGCCTCGAAGTCAATAGCCTGTGAAATGCAGCAGTCTCTTCTCTTTCTTCACCACTAAGGACGTTTTGTAGGAGATCAGAGGCGTCTGTGATTCGGCCAGGCAAATTCCATACTAATGACCGAATCTGCTCAACAAGCGCTGATTGGTCATTGTAGAAATTTTGTTCTTTTAGCTATTGTTTGTGACTGAAAGATGAAAGACAAAAGATCACAAAGATAAAAATGCAACTGAATTCATGGAATATATTCTTTTTTACAAGAAATATTTATTTGAATTTGCTGCTGCTTGCAGAAAAACTCAAAACTTTAAAACGATATGTGACCTTCTCCAGGAAAATGTAGACTAACACTAATTGTCTTGTTACTCTCAGCTTTTACCACAAACATTTTATTTTTTGAAATAGGAAACAATCCAATGATGAATCCATTTGCAATGCCCGACTTGTATGTTCGTCTTGCGACAAACCCAAAGACCAAAGCATTTTTGGAACAAGAAGACTATCGTAAGACAGTTGAAACTCTACGGCAGAACCCACAGCTGCTTGGAACGTAAGTTGGACTTTGTGAACTTTATGTAACCGTCAAAGTGATAAGTCAAAGCAGGCTTTCTAGCCTGAGAAAACAGCCAAAATTTTGAAACACCACCACTGGTTTCCCTGCAAAATGACGTCTAAATAACCTGGGGAGAAATTCCATTCTGATGGCTACGTAGATCTTGGTAGTGCTTTTGATTGGTTGAAGCACATTATCCTTACAGCACGACCACGTTAGTGGTAGTTTTCCGTAATGATGACACGTCATCATTATGGAAATTCTACAGTCATTTCTCAATTCATTTTGCAGGGGAACCAGTGGTCGCATAGCAAAATGTCAGCTGTTTTCACAGGCTACAGGCTTTCTGGCATGGTGTTGAAAATGCTATGAAATTATCCAGTGTTTCTAGGAGGTCACATTATGTATAAAAATTTCTTTGAGGCAAAGTATACAATTTCTCTGGATTACGTGTACATTTGGCATCATTGGAACACTTGCTGTACTGTCATTTGATTCACAACAACCTGAGAAAGTAAATAATCTTCTTAATGTTTTTTCTGAAAGTAAATAACCTAAAATTTGCATTTTTGATTTAATTCTATTGACTTGTCCATTATTGAAATATAAATTTTCAAGTGGAATTTATGACCAGATGCAATTTGATGTTAATGATTTATGTCAAATTGCATCTGAACATACAATAATATGGGAAATTGCATCATCCGTATTATTAAGTTATAAAGTTATGTCAAAAGTGTAGGGGAAGGAGTATGGAAAACCTCTCAATAAAAACAAGCACAGATGTGATTGTTTTAAAATTTGAGATCCTGCTAATACCTCTAATAATTATTGGTATTAGCAGGATCTCAAATTTTGTGGAACAGATGTAATCTAACCTCAGTTAGTAACGTCTTGGTAGCAGCACTGGTATCCTTATTCTGGGCCCAGACTCTACGAATTACCGGAACTACATTTTGAATTTGCCATCAACTGGAATGGCAATTTGGCAATGGCTTTTTTAACATGCCAATCATGGCATCATAGTTAGTAGAGGAGACTGGTTATGAAAGCCAGCAAACATAAAAGTTGGAAACAATGGTGCTGTAGGTTATGCTGGAAGCTCCCTGAACGTGCACAATCCTTTGTTTTCTGTTCACAAATTATGACTGAATAAATTAACGCAATGTTTCTATTGGTCAATAACTTCAAAATGATAGGAATGCTATTGAATGTTGTGCACGGTCAGGTCCAAAAAAGCTAACAAAAACCTATTACAAAGGGTTTCCCAACCTTTCCACTTTAATTAATTACGATGGCATGCACTCAAATCCTGGTGCATAGATTGGGGCCCAGAACATGGATTTTGGCGCAAGAATAAAGAAAATAAAGGTCAGCAAAGATAAAACTTCTTGATGGTCAAACAAATTTTCATTAGCACCGTAAAAAAAATGTATGGCAAACAATGTGGAGAATATTTAACTTGATACTAGGCCCTAAAGTGTTAGCTTTAATTTCAACAGGTACTTGCAGGATCAAAGGATAATGCAGACTGTGGCAGTTTTGCTTGGGATTGATGCCGATGTACAAGATAATGATGGTATGTTTTAAGAACACAGATACTCTTTTAGACCAGAAAGTGCAATGGCATTGGCACTAGTCTTGGGAAGCCAACAACAAGATAAAAGGGAGTCATAGCAACAGAAAATGAAAACAGCAATGATATTAATAAGCAAGAGAACATCTCTGTAAATGCATCACACTTTTTTTACCATTTCCTTTCCATCACTGCACAACCATAACTATGGTGTGAAATTTCCTCACGTAACATCTTATGACGATTGCAAACACAAAACAATGGGTCAGTTCCCGTAGAATTCTAATCTCAGAAAATTCACCTTCCTTGTCATTTACTTACTTTTTTTCTCCTTCTTCTTTAAATTTTCCTGAAGACACTGACTAGAAATTGTGTTTGTTTGTTTTGCCAAACTTATTGCTTTAGTGACCTTCACCATAATCATGCTTTCTGAAGCTCCCTAATCTTACCCACACAGAACCTCCTCCGCCTCCAAAACCAGAAGAGAAGCCATCAACAGCGGAGCCAATGGAAACAGAGCCTGAACCTGAACCCGAAGTGGATCCTTCAATCAAAAAGGTAAGAAGGTCATCTAGCTCAGGCCAGGAGGACCATCAGAACTGTTCAAGCAGCGTGCAAAGAAAGTCATGTCCGATAACCAGGGAGTAGTGGATTTTGCCTTCGGGTTAATGAATTCTGGGCTTAACCTCAGTTTCCGAACTGGCAAGGGAAGTTTTATGGAGAATTCAAATTACAGAAGAACTGTTATCAGTACTGTGCATCTAAATATTTTTTTTCGGGCTGGTTAAAATGACTCTTGGGCTAGTACATGCTAACTACATTTGCAGCTTGCTCTAATGGCAAGCTGTAAACCTGACTTTCTTTGCACCATGTCAAGGCATTAGGGCCATTTATACTCGTGAGGAAAAATACGACGCGTCTTAAATAAGACGAGAACTGTACTTTTTATACGAGCATGTCTTATCTAATAAGACGCATCTTAGCTAAGCCGCATCTTATTTTAGACGAAATGTGCCGTTTATACGGAAAGTTCGCGTCTTATTTTTCCTCGTATAAATGGCCCTATTGTGATTTCAGGCACTACACTTGATCTCATACATTTAATTTATTTTGAAACGGCTGCTCTTGGTTTAATTCAAGCGATCGGGAGAAATGCTTCATAAAATACAGAAGTTTGTACCTTTTGATTCCAAGATGATAATATAATGTAAGAAAGATGAATAAAATATGTCTCAAAAAAAGTGTTGTCTGTTGCAAAAATGGTTAAAGCTGTGGCGCTCAAAGGCAACGTGAGCAAAATGATTGGCTCCTTGGAAAGCACTTTAAAATTACTAAAGCCCTGCTAAAGCCCAAGACTGGCCCACATACAATTAGTGGTGGGGACCACTGACTAGTATTGTCTCGTGTTTAACCTTGCCTAAATTACATTTAGGTTGCATTCCTTTCAGCCAATCCAGATTGTTTGAATTTTTCTGCTAGCCGGAACAAAAATCTGAAATAAGATTGATCCATACAGTATCTGCCTGCTGCTCTGATCTTCTTGTCAATTTCAACGTATTGTTTTTTATTTCTTTCCGCTAAATTAAGTGTTTTCTCATGGATAAATGAAAAGAAAAATAGCTCTTTAACTAGTGGTGGTTCATACTGGGACTTGTCAACTTAAAATTATCTGGAAATTGATTCAAGAAAATTCAGAAGACCATAACGAATTCTCAAGTGCTGAGAAGCGCGTTCTAGACACACACACATTGGACACTATAGCTTTATGGTGAGAAAATGCAAGCGTCTTCGCTTCCTTATGGATTTAGAGTTACAGGCCCTTTAGCGGCATAGAACAAAGGAGGAGTGTAAATAACTTTTGTAGGAACTAACCTCCACTGTGTGTATCGATGAACAAGCACAATCTTGCAATCCGAAAGCAGTTTTGTTAAGTGACATAAAAATCTGAAAACAGATTAACATACCAATGTGAACGATCCAAATGCGGAGGTGGATTGTTCAGTTTGCAATCTCAGATTGGTTAAGTCCTTAATGGAACGAAAAATCAAATTTTGGATCGCAAAATCAGGATTTTGAATGATTTCAGATTTCAGACTTTTTATTTCTTGCACTATTTCAATAGTTTAATCCAAAAAATTACAATACATAATTTGGTCAAAAGGAATGCAACCTTAGCCACTGTGCAGGACACATCAGTAATAATAGTTGACATGATTAATACATTGCAGTTCAATTATTCTGCTTTTTCACAGTCTTTGGAGGAGAAAGAGCTTGGAAATGCTTCTTACAAGAAAAAAGATTTTGAAACTGCCCTTGCGCACTACAAAAATGCAATTGAACTTGATCCCACAAATGCCAGCTTTCTCACTAACAGAGCAGGTCAGTGTTAGAACATAATAGCTCTATTATAATAAAATCAAGCTGGTTAGTTGCTGTTGCTAGTTGTTATATTGGCTTCTACTACCACTACACTACTACTATGACCGAGAAAGAGCACACGTCTTAAGGGGCTCCCTATCCGGCATAGCTGTTCTCAGCTCTTCCACACTTTCCAAGCTGGTATCGCTTTTCAGGTTATCTATATAAGTAACAGCTGGTATTCCCATGTTCATGCGTCCACTCATCGGCTGCCAATTGAAAGTACTAGCTTAGATGCTTCCTCCCTGGGGTGCCTAACATAATGGCTGGCTAGCTTCAACCTTCTGAAACCCACTTTTGATGACACTGGTGGTAAATTACCATATAATCCTTGTTGGTCAATTTATCTTGCCAAGACACATTAAATACCATACGTAACATTTTGGTATAACATCCATCTAGTTTCTCCTCCATAGCTTTTATAACTGTGCATGTCTCACTTTCATTGAGCAGGATTTGACAGGTACATGTTTTTGGTACATGTACCTGTAAAATTAATGATCGCTTAGAGGAGGTACAGTAGTAGCACATGAAGATAACCCCAGAAAGTTTGAAAAAAAGTGCTGTCCTCAGATAAGCTGGGGCACTCATCTCTTTTGAGTAAGGCTGTGTTCATACCATACCAAATAGCTGTTGCAGCAACAGGAAAATCTTACCGGATAGGGCATCTGTTCACACAAGAAATGAATTTTCCTTCGTTTGAGCTACCCAACCTGTATTCAGTTGTCTAGTTGTCTTTTTGTCTCTGTTTTACTTGTGTCGTCCGAATTGGAAGGAAAATATTTTTCATTTGAACGAACTTGCTGAGGGAGAATGAAACGGTGATTTCTGTGTGATTTCTGTATCAGAGCAAAGCTGTACCACACCAATCTCGAAAGTGGAGCATCACATGTTGAATAGGTTCTGTGCCACACTTTGGTGTAGTGTGAATAGGTTTTTGGACCATACAGTAAAAACCCGCGTACAAGAACCTATTTTTTTCAAGCTAGGCTAAGAAGTTTCTTACAAAAATGGTGCTAACTGGAAAATTAAGCTACTCAGGTTTTTATTTTTAAAAACAAATAAGGTGTTTGTTATTGGTGGGTGTGGCCTATTTTGGGGCTATTTTTGTTATTGCATGCATAATATGTTATAAAAATCCCTTTAATCGAAGCATGTTAAAGCGATTTATGAAGTTTATACAAAGCTATGCAAGTTAAACAGAACAAAAACAAAATTAAATCATAGTACTTTGTTTTATCTTCACTTTACTAACCGGTAGAGCTCATTCTATTAAATTTGTGTACTCAGTGTTTCTGACTTAAAGAGTTTTATTCTTGGACAAAGTTTTAACATCCGAATTTGTCCAAGAATACATTTTCCCCAGATTTACTTGTTAGCATCGGATTGTCCAAGATTTTCGATCCAAGAATATGTACCCAAAAATGTGTAGTGGAAGCAAATAAGTAAGAAAGAGGACTGGAAGTTGTGGAACCCACTGAGATGGAAGTAAATTATATTCAGGAGGAAGGATAATTGGGATTTACACGATAGTTCACCAAGCATTTTCGGCCAATTACTCTGGCACCTTTGATGTGTGTGAATGACTTGCTTAAGTTCTGTGCCATTGCTGCTCATACTATAGTTATTAACAATTATTCCTCGAGCCCGAATGGGCTCTGAGTAAATAGCCCATGAGGCCGAAGGCAAAATGGGCTATTTGCTCAGAGGCCCTGAGGGCAAGAGGAATAATTGTTTTAGTAAAATCCAACTAGTTGGTCAAAAATATCGAGACAAAACAACTTTGGGTAGCAAAATGCGATTCAGCTGCCATTGTTTTGGTTTTCAAAGCCAGCACGTTTCACTACTAGTAAGCTATAACATATAGCCTAGTAGTAGCTCGACCAATCAGAATGCGTCATTGATGATAGATCTCTTGTTGGATTTTACTAATACTGGATAGCTTTTTGTGTCTGTCCAGTACAGTGTCAATATAGCCTAAATACGGTATGCTTCATGCTGACCAAAACGTACTACATGTATTTGCTCCTTCTTGTTTGCTAAAATTGTTTTAAAAGTTACATTTACTTGCCTTAAGAGTGTTGTTTTTAAGACCTTCTACAGAATTAGTGTAGCATAAGGAATAATATAATTATTTTGCTGGGTTGTGTACATTATGTTTTCAGCTGTATATTTTGAACAAGGGAGGTTTGAAGAATGTATTGAGGAATGCCTAAAGGCTGTTGATGTAGGCAGAGATCATTCTGCAGGATATCAGATGATTGCAAAGTAAGTTATGTTTAAAATTACGTAAAAGCCTGACTCTCAGCCTAGTCCAAAGATCTGCCACTCACCTAACCTTTGGAGCAGGCCCTAAACCCGTTTGCTCCTGGGAATTGTGCTGAAAAAAGCGTGTCAAAACCCGTTTTATAGTAACTGGCTGGCTATTAAAAGCGGTAAAACTAACCAAAAAGCCGTTTACAGGTTGTATACTTTTCAACCTTCTGATACAGATGAAAAATATTATTACGGTAGCGTCTGAAGTTCCGGAATGTACAGAAAGCGAAATGTTTGGGTTTAGAAGTGACACAGCATTACCTTATGTATTTTTAAATAAATTTATTTAAGACGGGCCATCTCTTATTGATAGACTCTAAGGGGCTGTTTCCACAGGGGCACCCAACGAGAATATAGTTCAAAACCACTTAAATTGCATTGTTAAACGTGTTTTTAGTATTTAAACAGTGGATATGGGCATATTTTTATCCCCTATAAATTTTTCATCTGTTCGGATTTCCTAGCTGAAAGTCTAGTGATCCGAAAATTATAGGGATCAAAACTTACTCGTTCAAAATTTCAGCCGGAAAAAAGGCTCCCGGAAGTTTTAGGTGACCTTTTTAGGGTAAAAATCCGCTGAAAATGGGCAATTTTACCATTTTTTAGATGTTCGAAAATCCTAGGAGAGGCAGGCAAGCAAGAAATTTTACAACCAAATGTTTCGAAAATTCTAGATCTCAAATCGTCTTCCGAACAGATATTTTTCCGAAAATTATCGTTGGGTGCCCCTGTTTCCATGAAGTGAGGAAGATCCTAGAGGGCGGATAATCCTAGTACCATATGTTTCAGTTCTGTATTTGGTTTACATTCAAAGGGTTGTACTTGTCCCTGGCCCTGGGATCTTCCTGGCTGAGAGTGCTTTCGCTAGTAAGATCCTAGTACTGGAGACAAACCAAACAAGAGTGGCCGACCATTGCGTTTCTGCTGAAAGGTAGTTATTAATGCCAGTAAAGAGAGCAGAACGGCATTTTTGTTTTTTTCACCCGTCATTTTTTATTCCGTCTCGAACCTTCTCTACTTGGGCACCACAGGGATCAAGCTTTCTGCATGTAAACTCAATGAAAGTTTTTCCGCCTTCTAGGATCTTCCTTCCTCCATGCCCGTTTTTCCTTACCTCAAGTAAACGAATAAGATTTAAGCTGAGTTCAATATTTGAATTGTTTGTACCTTTTTAGAGCATACGCAAGGATCGGAAATGCCTATAGAAAGCTAGAGAACCTAACAGAAGCAATTAAATTTTACAACAAGTCTCTTATAGAACACAGAACTCCTGAAGTTTTGAAGAAAAGTCAAGAGGTGGGATTATTTAAAATTTTTACTTTTACATGTTGAGTCATTTTTGGTGAAAAAGCTCTTATTAAAAGCTTTATAGTATTTGTAGTTAACAGTGCTTTCAAGAGCTTTATCTTGAAACTAGACATGGTAACGTCCATTTTTCTCAACATTTTTGTCCAAGATTGATTGTTATGCTCCAATGACTCCATCTCAAGCCAATTTTAGAAGGATTTGTATGGAGTCATCAGAGCAAACCAGTGCTTATATCTACCAACCAATTTGCACTAACAGGCTAATATTTGGCAAGGGGGCTTTTTTCATCTTATTCTTTCTGAATATGCTAACCAACCCCACAATTTTACTAACTTGAATTTTTGTGACGTCACACTCCGCTTCTCCATAATAAAAGGGGTTTAGTGGGTTATAAGGTCGAGGACTTATAGTGGATGAGTGTATCATCTCTCTGGTTCAACAGGTGGAGAAAGCTTTGAAAGAGCAACAGAGGTTAGCGTACATAGACCCAGAAAAAGCTGAGGAGGAAAAGGAAAAAGGAAACGCTCTTTTCAAGAAAGGTAATCTTTCAAGAAACACCCACAGATTCCTGCAACCATCCTTGATATCATAAATTTGATAAATTAGTAGGGACCTTTAGATTCTAAGTCGAGGACGACTACCAGTGCGAGATTTTCTCAATACTAAGTAGTGCGCGTGCGTGAACCAGCGTCATTTTGGCGGGAAAACGTGGTAGCCGTCGTCATTCTACTACGAGTTTGAGCGAGAAAGTAGTGACAAGGAAACGAGTTATCAAATCAGTGTTAAAATTTCTATCATTTTGCGCCCGGGACAGGGCTTAACCTCTTTCACTAAGAACGATAACAGTGCTATCTTTTTGGTGAAGAAATAAAAGTACAATGTATCCTTTTAGGATGTCTATTTTTGAGAATACACGAAAAAAATGTTAGTCAGATCTCGTACTCGTAGTCGTTCTCGTCCTAGAATCTAAAGGCAGGGGCGGATCTAGGGAGAGGGTGCAGGGGGTGCGCACCCCCGACCCCTCTGCAAAAAAAAACTATGTGGTTTATTGCTGTTGAAGTAGAGCAAGAGACGAGTGCACCCGCTCCTAAAACAAATCCTGGATCCACCTCTGAAAGGTCTCCAGTATCAACCAACCACCCAATGCAATGTAACTGAAATAGATATTACAGGAGCTGTGTCACCAAACATAAAACAATTCAAACAGTGAGAACTGCCACCAAACTGAGTGAAACATAAAATTAACTGCTCAAAACATGTATGAAAAGAAGGTATAAATAGCTAACAAATATAAAAGCAGGAACGGATGGAAAAACTTGAAGAAGATTGAATCGGATTGCAATTATTGTGCGTTTTGAAAAGTTGTTAACCTAACAGTCTTTAGACGAAGTTCCTTTTTGTTATTTGTAACATCTGATATACTACTTAGAGGACATTTGTTTGGCACAAAGCACTGAATAATGCCATGTACAAGAAATTTCTCAAGTTCCGTAGCGAATAAGGACTCATACTACTGGCATTGTAACCAAAAATATTATTGAGGTAGACATCTTTCCAAAGCCTGTAACACAAATAGTTTCTCAACTTGTAGATTGTGTCATGGTGTCTCGGACAGTTTGCTTGAAACTAAAAGGGCTTAAAATAATACTTTTTCGCTCTCCTTTCATTGATTCTTTCAAACAGTATAACACTATGGATGTTTCTTGATGTTGCGGAACCTATTATTGGTTAGCTATCACTTTGTTGTGTGGGTCGTGTTGAGTGTCTTTTGTTCTGTCATTGGTGATTGCACCCATCTGCAGCATCAAGAAAGTACCAAAACGTTTCCTTTGGTGTCGTATTTGCTTCTAGTACAAAGGAAAAGTGCTCGCTCATATACGGTATTTCGGGTATATGTATTTTTAATTTCTGACTAGGAGACTGTTCACAGTCCCCCACTATTTCCATTAGATCGTGGAGATCGAGCGATTTGCGTTGCCGGCGGCCATCTTTGATGAGTGTCTAATTTAACCCGACGCCCGCCCCCTCGGTACATGTGAAACCAAGATGGCCGCTTGTACCGGTAGGCGCTCGATCCTGACGATCTTACGAATTCTTCGTGTACGATCTCCCGAGAATCTTCTCATGACACCGGCTGCTTTGTAGTTTTGTTCTCATCATTTTTGTTCTTTTTGCCTGACAGGTGACTATCAAGAGGCCTTAAAACATTACAAAGAGGCTATAAAAAGGGATCCGAATAATGCCAAAATCTACAGTAATCGAGCAGCATGTTATCAAAAATTA